CCCCTGCCCCTCCCAGGTCGCCTACTCCTCCCCACCCCTCCCAGCTTCTCCACCACTTCCCACCCCACCCCTGCTCTTCACAGCCTCTCTAGCCCCAACCCCATCCGCACCTCTCTCAGTCTTGCCCCTCCCAGGCTCCCCACACCCCCCCTCCACCTCAGTCCCTCCCACCTTCTCCACCTCCCACCCCAGCCCCGCCAGTCTCAATCACTCCACCCACACCCCACCCAACCGCCCCCGCACCCTAGCTATGCCCAGGCTTGCCCACCCTGGTGTAGTAGCCGGGGTAGAGCTTCTCGGTCATGGGCGCAATGTACTCCAGCAGGAACTTGTGCCATTCCCGCTCAAAGCCGATCTGGTTCATGTGGATGTCAATGGTCGGCACGTTCTCGTAGCCACCCTGGATGCGGTTGTCCTGGAGGTGACCGAGGCCAGTGTTTAGGCAGAATTCTAGGATGGCCCCAGGCTCTGTCTACTCCCCTCCCCTCCACCTGGGGACGTGACAAGGCCATGTTATATTACATGACAAAATTGAATGGGCTTTGTAGATACAGTTAAGGCCCCTAATCAGTTGACTTTGGGTTAATCAAAAGGGAGACTACCTGACCTACTAGGTAAGTCATGGAAAGAAAGACTCTTTTTTTGGAGACAGGGTATCGCTCTGTTGCACAGGTTAGAGTGCGGTGGCACAGCTTCGGCTCACTGCAGCCTCAACCTCCCAGGCCTAAGTGATCCTCCCACCTCACCCTCCCGAGTAGCTGGGACTACAGGCACACACCACCATGCCCAGCTAATTTTATTTCTTTTTTAAAAAATTTTAATTTGTTTTTTTTTTGAGACAGAGTCTTACTCCGTTGCCCAGGCTAGAGTGCAATGGCACAATCTCGGCTCACTGCAACCTCCACCACCTGAGTTCAAGCGATTCTCCTCCATCAGCCTCCTGAATAGCTGAAATTACAGGTGCATGCCACCACACCTGATTGATTTTTTTGTGTATTTTTAGTAGAGATGGGGTTTCATCATGTTGGCCAGATTGGTCTTGAATTCCCAACCTCAGGTGATCTGCCTAACTTGGTTTTCCAAAGTGCTGAGATTACAGGTGTGAGCCACCGTGCCTGGCCACCATTGCACTCTACCTGGGTGATAAGCAAAACTCTGTCTCAAAAAAAGAAAAAATTAGTTGGGCATGGTGGCCGGCGCCTATAATCCCAGCTACTAGGGAAGCTGAGGCAGGAGAATCACTTGAACTCAGGAGGCACGGGTTGCAGTGAGCTGAGATCACACCACTGGGCGACAGAGCAAGACGCCATCTCAGAGAAAAAAAAGAAAGAACTTAGAAAATGAGAGGTGGACTGGGGCTTGAAGTGCATAGGAGATATGAACGTTGTAAAACTGTCAAGAGATGAAAAATTCCTTTCTAAAGTTTCTCTTCTGTGAAAGGGGTGAGGGCAGAGTTTGCTTACTAGGTAATGTTGCCTTTAAGTACAGTGGTGTATTTTTATTAAAGATTGTGCTCTTTTATCAAAATCCTATGGAAATAAATATTCTGGGATCATTAAAAAAAGGAAAAAAAAGGTGCCTTAGGCTGGGCATGGTAGCTCACGCCTGTAATCCCAGCACTTTGGGGGGCTGAGGATGGCAGATCACTTGAGGCCAGGAGTTCCAGACCAGTCTGGCCAACATGGTGAAACCCAGTCTCTACTAAAAATATAAAAATTAGCCAGGCATGGTGGCACATGCCTGTAGTCCCAGCTATTGGGGAGGCTGAGGCAGGAGAATCACTTAAACTCGGGAAGGGGAGGTTGCAGTGAGCCAAGATCACACCACTGTACTCCAGCCTGGGTGACAGAGACACTGTCTCAAAAAAATAAATAAATAAATTTACACACACAAACACACACACACACACACACACACACACAAAATTAAATAAATAAGTATACAGAGATTAGCTGGGCATGGTGGCACACGTCTATAATCCCAGCTACTTGGGAAGCTGAGGCATAATAATCTCTTGAACCTGGAAGGTGGAGTGAGCCAAGACCGCATCACTGCACTCTAGCCTGGGCAAGAGAGTGAGGCTCTGTCTCCAAATAAATTAATTACTTAAAGAAAGAAAGAAAATGAAATGGTGCCTGGTTCATGACCAGCCCAGGTAACACAGCAAGATCCCATCTCTATTATTTAAAAAAAGAAAACGGAAACAACGGTGCCTGAAATTTCCAGGTCAGGTACAGGTGTGGGATCCTCACTCAGGGGACACAGAGCCTCTCACACTCACCAGGCCATCTGCTCCTGGTATCTGATGAACCTAATGCCTCTCATCCCACCTTGGCCTCTTCCTCCTCATTCCTCCTGGGGGAAGTCTAGGGAAGGAAGCTAAACCACTCCAATAGCAAACCAGGAACTGAAAACCTAGTAGCTTACGGCCAAGGTGGCTCAAAGCCACACAGTGGCATTGGCAGCTTGGGGACCAACTCCATCTCAGGTTTCTCAATCCCTCTACTCCTCACTGCCTGCAGACACCCCTGCCAGCACTCCTATGTCAAGAGTTCCAGAGAGGGTGGTTGGGCCAGCTTGCCAGGAGAAGACCCCAGACAGTAAGTGGCACTGGTGGAGAGGTGGCCTCCCTGCGGCCCCAGCCCAGGCATCAGGGTCCCACCTTGTTGTCGCCCAGAGACCACTGGCCAAAGTGCTCCATTTCCTCCACCAGCTCGTCGCAGGCCTCTTCCGTGAAGATGGGGAACCAGTAGACATCCGGGCAGGGCTGGGGAGGTCAGGGACTCAGTCAAGGGGGTCCGCAGTGGTACCACCACATCCTCTTCCCTCTGCAGGGCCCCACACCCGAGCCAGGGAGCCCTCCAAGTGTCCCCGGGGAGCAGGGGCTTGTCAATCCTGGAGAGACTGAGTGAGCTCCTAAAGGGAGAAGGAGGCAGAGCCCAAAGACTTTCCCAGCCAAGGTCACAGAGCTACCAGCATCAGGGCCAGGAGAGGAACGTGGGCATGGAGGGAGGGAGGGGGCAGAAGCTTCAGGCTTGGGGGAAGCAGACATTAGTGAGTGGGGAGAAGTGGCCACTCCTTGAGCTGGTCTAGGCACGATGGGCCACAGGAACAATCACATTCAGGATGTTTCTCTCCTTCCTGCTGGGCCCAGGGAGAGAGGGCCTGCAGACCCCCACAGCCAACAGCAGGAAAGTGCCAACGGGGAAGGGCCATCCCGCTGTCCCCCACTCCCATCCCACTGCCCCCCACTCCCATCCCGCCGGCCCCCACTCCCGTCCCGCCGCCCCCCACTCCCGTCCCGCCGCCCCCCACTCCAATCCTGCCGCCCCCCCCACTCCCCCAGGGCAGCCAGTCTCCCTTCTGTGCCCTGCCCCTGCAGCAGGTGAGGCTGGTCCAAGAGGGTGCCCATGGCCCTTACCGTCTCCACCAGCTTCCCCGCCAGGGCCTTGGTGTAGTTCACATGGATGTACTTCTCCTTCCAGTCCTGCAGGGAGTGGGAAGTAGGCTGGGGTGCTCACCATTGACTCAACTGCATGGGATGCTCCAAGAGGGCTCCTCCCCACAGAACCCCCAAAGTGGGAGTGAGGGTGTACATGCCTGGGGGAGGTAGGTGTTCACCTATGCCCACTGGGTGCATGTGTGTTGTCTGGGTGCACAGCTGTGCCCATAGGAGGTGGTGTCTACACATGTATGTACATGTGTGTGCCTGTGTGTACATGTCTGTGGGCTGGCATGTGCATACACCCATTAACTGCAAGCTCCCAGCATCTAAAAACAGTCACAACTGGCCAGGTGCGGTGGCTCACGCTTGTAATCTTAGCACTTTGGGAGGCTGAGGCAGGCAGATCATGAGGTCAGGAGTTTGAGACCAGCCTGGCCAACACAATAAAACCCCATATCCACCAAAAATACAAAAATTAGCTGGGCACAGTGGCAGGCACCTGTAATCCCAGTTACTTGGGAGGCTGAGGCAGGAGAATTCCTTGAACCTGCGAGTCAGAAATTGCAGTGAGCCAAGATCGTGCCACTGCACTCCAGACTGGGCGACAGAGATAGACTCTGTCTCAATTTAAAAAAAATAAAAGAGGCCGGGCGCGGTGGCTCGCACCTGTAATCCCAGCACTTTGGGAGGCCGAGGCGGGTGGATCACAAGGTCAAGAGATCAAGACCATCCTGGTCAACATGGTGAAAACCCGTCTCTACTAAAACTACAAAAAATTAGCTGGGCATGGTGGCGCGTGCCTGTAATCCCAGCTACTCAGGAGGCTGAGGCAGGAGAATTGCCTGAACCCAGGAGGCGGAGGTTGCGGTGAGCCGAGATTGCGCCATTGCACTCCAGCCTGGGTAACAAGAGTGAAACTCCGTCTCAAAAAAAAAAAATAAATAAATAAATAAATAAATGAAAGAAAAGAAATAGTCACACTGCCTCCCCTTCTGATCATCACAGCACCCTCACAGCCAAGACAGGCTGGGACAGTATACCCATTTTAGAGCTAGGATAACTGCGGTCCCCAAAGTTGAGAGGCTCAGCTAAGTCATAGGTGACGGCAGATCTGGGCCACAAACCATGCCTCTGAGTCCTGGTCCCCCCCCAACCAATAGATGGTGTTGCCTCTCTGGACACCCTCCTCTCCCTACCCAAATCCTGCCTATAGCCCGCTGTGGTGAAGGGAGGGTGGCAGGTAGCCTACAGGGGTCCTAGCTATTGTAAGGCTCTGACAGGGAAGTGCCTCAGACTGCAGGATCCCTGGGCCCCTCTGCTCCCAGTCCCTGTGTGCCCACCCCAGCCTCACCTCGGGGTTGCTGAACACCTCCCAGAGGTCGTTGTGCAGGTGGGTGGTGCGGTAGTTGTCCAGGGAGAGCAGGTGGCCAAGGCCGTGCCGGTTGGTCAGGAACATAAACACACCCTGGGGAGAGCAGGCCCAATGGAAGAGGTCCTCCCCCACCCCTCTCCTGCACACTCCCAGACAGGCAACAGGGCAGCCTCCTTCGCCCGCCAGATTAAAGTTCACAAGATCAGAGACCAAGTACGGTCACCCTATGGTCCCCAGGGCCCAGCCCTAGGCCTGACACTGAAGATGTGATCAAGGAAGTCTTCTGAACACAGAATGAAAGAAAAAATGCTTAAAAGAAAAGGAGTATGGACCAGGCACAGTGGCTCACGTAATCCCAGCACTTTGGGAGGCTGAGGCAGGCGGATCAAAAGATCAGGAGTTTGAGACCAGCCTGGCCAACATGGTGAAACCCCGTCTCTACTAAAAATACAAAAATTAGCTGGGTGTGATGGCGCCTATAGTCCTAGCTACTCAGGAGGCTGAGGTAGGAGAATTGCTTGAACCTGGGAGGTGAAGGTTGCGGTGAGCTGAGATCTCGCAACTGCACTCCAGCCTGGGGGATAGAGTAAGACTCCGTCTCAGAAAAAGAAAAATAAAATAAGAAAAGGAGTGTGTTCTGGTCCTGAAATGTTGATCACAGGGGAAAACTTCATCTTGCTGCATGTTAAAAAAAAATCACTGGGCGTCGTGGCTCATGCCTATAATCCCAGGACTTTGGGAGGCTGAGACAGGTGGATCACCTGAGGTCGGGAGTTTGAGACCAACCTGACCAACATGGAGAAACCCCGTCTCCACTAAAAATACAAAATTAGCTGGGCGTGGTGGCACATGCCTGTAATACCAGCTACTCCAGAGGCTGAGGCAGGAGAATTGCTTAAACCTGGGAGGCAGAGGTTGCAGTGAGCCAAGATCATGCCATTATACTCCAGCCTAGGCAACAAGAGTGAAACTGCATCCCAAAAAAAAAAAAAAATTACAAAAATATATGGGGTGGGGTGCAGAGACAGGGTGAGGTGTCTCTTGGGCACATTACTTGGAGTACCTTTAGGTGGAAAGTTTAGTTTTCTTTGGGCTATGTCAAAAATGTAAATAAAATAGATGGTATAAAAACCAGGTCCGTTAAAATGGTCCCTGCAGACCCCTGAGGACCAGCCCTTGTGCCCGATGCCCCCCATTCCTCCACCAGGCCCTGGTGGCTTCTGAGATGCCCTGCTGCAATCTCAGGAGCTCCCAGGCCTATGGTGACAAGGTAGCCTGCCATGAGGGACAGAGCTGGAGGCCCATACTCCCACCTTCCTCATCCAGCCAGAGGCCCTCCTGTGTCCACCCCCTCCTGGCTGACCTGCTGCCGGATGTTGGCACAAAAGGCCATGTCGGGGTCCAGCTTCCTGTGGTGGAAGAGATCTGGGGACTGCAGCTCAGCCCGCAGGGCACTGCCCTTGATCAAGTAGATGTTTGAAATATAGGGCACGTTCCAGACACCACTATGGGAGAGAGAGAAAGAGGGTGGGGGTCTGAGGCTGGCAGCAGGGAAGATGGAGAGGGTCACGGGCTGCTGGTAGAGAGTTGTAGCCTGGTATCTGGGCTGTAAGAAGGGGAAGTCGCAGGCTGGGAGGGCACAATCATGCTGATTTGATTCCCCCACCCTGGACACATGGGCCTTTTGTCAGGAAGTCCTTCTGTGTGTCTAACTACAGTCATCCTTGCTTCAGTTTCACCAGGAATTTGAGAGCAACAAGGACAGGAACACTGAGGAGGGAACTCTACAAGCCGAGGCAGAAGACAGATGAAGGTGTCCCCTGCCCCCGCCCTGCCCTGCAGGTACTCACACACGCCGCCCCTGCACGATGTCCACATAGTCCTCGGAGCGGGCATAGTAGCCATCTGCACTGAGAGCCCCCCAGAAATTCGACCACAGCCTCCCATGCCGGGTCATCAGTGGGGCAATGACGTTCCTGCGGAAGGGAGCGCCTCAGTGGGAAGTCACTGCCCACTGGGAGTGGGAGACAGGACTAGCCAGGGATGGGGGGAGGAGGAGCGGAGGAGGAAGGATGAGGCAGGAGGGTGCCCCTCAACCTGCACACAGGGATCCCCAAGCACCTCACTGGGACAGGCAGCACCTTGGCCAGGGTGTCGGGGGTTTGGCTCTTCTGGTACCTGCTCCCTTCCACGGGGCAGCCAGGAGCAGACAGGGCAGGACACCTTCTCTATCAGAACCTGGGGTGTCAGGCTAGGGGTCCACAGCTCTGGGTAACAGATGAGGTCAAGGAGGAGGAGGAAGAGGAGAAAGAGGAAGAGGAGGAGGAGGAAGAGGAGAAAGAGGAAGAGGAGGAGAAAGGGAAGGAGGAAGAGGGGGAAAGCAAGGAGGGCTCCCACCCTGGGGCCAGGCCAATCCTTAGCAGTGTGGACGCAGACAGGGCAGCCTCACTTGTTCTGCTGGATCAGCAGCCGCAGGCTGTTGGGCTCGGTCAGGGCCACGTCGGCATCCACGCTGAAGTAGTAGGTGCAACTGCGGTCCTGCCGGCACAGGTCTCTGCGAGGAGGAGGACACAGGGTCAGTGCACCTGATCCTGGAGCCACCCTGGCGGCTGCCCACATCTGTGGCCACAGTCTGGCTTCGTCACATACCAGCCAAGGGGCTTTAGAGAGTTCACACCAGCAGCCTCTAAGGTCCCTCCCAACTCTGAGTCCAAAACCCCTGGACTGCTGGGCTCTCTCACCCAAGGCCCAGAGCTTGGCAACTGGCATCGAGTGTCCTGAAAATCCTGGCACTGGGAAGAACACAGCCCACAGATGCCTACACGACCCAGGGTGGGGAGTAAACTGGGGCTGCCTTTCTTTTTTTTTTTTTTTGAGACGGGGTTTCGCTCTTGTTACCCAGGCTGGAGTGCAATGGGGAGATATCGGCTCACTGCAACCTCCGCCTCCTGGGTTCAAGTGATTCTCCTGGGGCTGCCTTTCCAATAAGCAATTTGGTAACTTGTACCAAAAAACCTTAAAAATTTATATTATTTTTGTTTATCTGGTATAGGACTCAGATAAATGAGGTCTATAAGCCAAACTCTGGCCCTGCCTGCTTTTATAAAGCTCATGGGCTAAGAACACAACAGCTTTATGTTTTTCATTCATTCATTAATTCATTCATGAGACAGAGTATCGCTCTTGTCACCCAGGCTGGAGTACAGTGGCATGATCTTGGCTCACTGCAACCTCCGCCTCCTGGGTTCAGGTGATTCTCCTGCCTCAGCCTTCCCCGTAGCTGGAATTACAGGCACGCACCACCACGCCCAGCGAATTTTTGTATTTTTTAGTAGAGACAGGATTTCACCATGTTGGCCAGGCTGTCTCAAACTGCTGACCTCAGGTGATCTGCCTGCCTCACCTCCCCAAGTGCCAGGATTACAGGGATAAGCCTGGAATCATAAGATTTATGATCCAATGCTTAGCAGAAAGTTTGCCAACCTCTGATCTGGACTGTCTGACTCTTTTAAAATCAACATGAATTACTTCTTTGTTTTTATTTTGCTTTATGAGACAAGGTCTCACTCTGTTGCCCAGGCTGGAGTACAGTGGTGCAATCATAGCTCACTGCAACCTCAACTTCCAGGGTTCAAGAGGTCCTCCCATGTGGGGATCACAGGCATCAGCCACTGCACTTGGCTGTTTCTTTGTTTTTAAGTGGTTGCAGGAAAAAAAAATCAAAAGAACAATCATATGAAGGTCATCGCCGGGTTGGGGTGGCTCATGCCTCTTAAGTAGCTGGGACCACAGGTTGCAGCCACCACACTAGGCTAATTTCCTTTTTTAAGAGATGGAGTCTCACTCTGTCACCCAAGCTGGAATGCAGAGGCACAATCATAGTTCACTGCAGCTTCAACTTCCCCAACTCCAGCAATCCTCCTGCCTTGGCCTCCCAAAGTGTGGGGATCACAGGCATCAGCCACTGCACTTGGCTGTTTCTTTGTTTTTAAGTGGTTGCAAGAAAAAAAAAATCAAAAGAACAATTATATGAAGGTCATCGCCAGGTGCGGGTGGCTCATGCCTGTAATCCCAGCACTTTGGGAGGCTAAGGTGGGAGGATAACTTCGAGCCACGAATTTGAGAACAGCCTGGGCAACACAGAAAAACCCTGTCTCTACAAAAAATAAAAATAAAAAAATTAGCCAGGTGCAGTGGCTCACACTTGTAATCCCAGCACTTAGGGAGGCTGACGTGGTCAGATCACTTGAGGACAGGAGTTGGAGACAGGCCTAGCCAACATGGTGAAACCCCGCCTCTACTAAAAATATAAAAATTAGCCAGGTGTGGTGGCATGTACCTGTTATCCCATCTACTCAGGAGGCTGAGGCAGGAGAATCACTTGAACCCTGGGTGGGGAAGTTGCAGTGAGCCGAGATGTTGCCACCGCACTCCAGCCTGAGTGACAGAGTGAGACTCTGTCTCAAAATAAATAAATAAAAATAAAAAAGAAGTTAACTGGGTGTGGTGGCACATGCCTGTGGTCCCAGCTTCTTAGGGGCCTGAGGCAGGAGGATTGTTGGAGCCCAGAAGTTTGAGGCTACAGTAAACTATGATCCTGCCACTGCACTCCAGCCCGGACAATAAATGTGACAGCAAGCTAGGCCAGGCAGGTAACGGTGGCTCACGTCTATAATCCCAGCGCTTTGGGAGGCTGAGACGGGCAGATCACAAGGTCAAAAGATCAAGACCATTCTGGCCAACATGGTAAAATCCCGTCTTTACTAAAAATACAAAAATTAGCTGGGTATGGTGGCACACGCCTGTAGTGCCAGCTACTCAGGAGGCTGAAGCAGGAAAAATCGCTTGAACCTGGGAGGTAGAGGTTGCAGTGAGCTGAGATTATGCCACTGCACTCCAGCCTAGCAACAGACACTTCATTTCAAAAAAAAAAAAAAAAAAAAAGGAGAGTGACTGCAAGTCTCAAAAAAAAAAAAATTACATAAAAGTCAAATTTCAGTGTTCATAAACGAAATTTTGCTGGGATGCAGCCTCACTCATTCATTTACGTATTATTCATAGCTGCTTCTGTGCTACTAAGGCAGAGTTGAGTTGAGTGGCTGTAACAGAGCCCGCAGAACCAATTTGCAAAGATTTATGATCTAGTCCTCAGCAGGAAGTTTGCCAACGTTTGATCTGGACTGTCTGACTCTTCTACAGTCAACACAAATTACTTCTTTCTTTTGTTTTTGTTTTGCTTTATGAGACAAGGGCTTGCTCTGTCACCCAGGCTGGAGTACAGTGGTTCAATCAAAGCTCACTGCAGCCTCGACTTCTCAGGCTCAAGAGATCCTCCTGCCTCAGCCTCTTGAGTAGCTGGGACCCCAGGTTCGAGCCACCGCACTTGGCTAATTTATTTTTGTAGAGATGGGGTCTCGCTACATTGCCCAGTCTGTTCTCCAACTCCTGGCCTCAAGCGATCCTTCAGCTTTGGCCTCTCAAAGTGCTGGGATTACAGGTATGAGCCACCCTGCCTGACTTTTTCTTCTTTTTTTTATAATAAAGGAAAACACTTGAGATTTGCTCCCTAATTGTCAGCCTTTGTCTACTTCTGCCCCTAGTCCTTCCTCTTTCTCTGATTTGCTTCCTGAACCCAAATGATGCAGCTCAGCCCTGCTCAGGAGCCCAGGGGTGGGCAGGACAGAGGCTATTTCCCCATTTGACAGATGGAAACTCCAAGGCCCAGAGAAGGGCAGGAACTTGCTAGAGCACACACAGCCTTCTGGACTCCCATCACTCAGCCTGCTGCTCCTTACCACAGCCACAGCTCCCCTGCCCGCCACTGTCAGTGCAGAGAACCGCGGCCCACAACTCACGCGCCCATGTTCCTGGCGTCTGCATTTGCCATCCGCACTTCAGGGCCCACCAGCTTCACAGACTGGTACTCACTGCCGTGCTCTGCCAGGAACTCTTCCACCTGAGTCTTGTGATGCTGCTCCTGGGGGTGTGAATGGGGAACGGAAAGGAGGTGGTGAGGAGGACACGGCTTCCACCCAGGGACTGCAGCACCTCCTGACACTGCCAGGCTGTGCCCCTTCATCTCTGGCACCCTTGGCCATCTGCTTTCCTGTCTCCAGACCTTTGCCCACACCAGCCCTGTGCCAGGAACGTCCTTCCCTGGCCATCCTTTGCCCATTCTCCCCTGACCAGGCCAGACCTCCTAAGAGCCTCTGACAACAGGATAGAACTCCGCCACCACCCCTTGGATACCACATCCAGAGACACTGTCGATTCCTGGATGTGACCCAGTGATCTACTTTGTTACAAAACGTGGGCTGGGCATGGTGGCTCATGCCTGTAATCCCAGCACTTTGGGAGGCCAAGGCAGGTAGATCATCTGAGGTCAAGAGGTTGAGACCAGATTGTCCAACATGGTGAAATCCCATCTCTACTAAGTAAAGTACAAAAAAATTCACTGGGTATGGTGGCGGGCACCTGTAATCCCAGCTACTCGGGAGGCTGAGGGAGGAGAATCGTTTGAACCCAGAAGAAGGTGGAGGTTGCAGTGAGCCGAGATCAAGCCACTGCACTCCAGCTTGGGAAACAAGAGAGAAACTCCATCTCAAAGAAAAAAAAATACAAAAAATTAGCCAGGCATGGTGGCACATGCCTGTAGTCCCAGTTACTCAGGAGGCTGAGGCAGGAGAATCACTTTAACCCGAGGTGGAGGTTGCAGTGAACTGAGATCGTGCCACTGTACTCCAGCCTGGGTGATACAGCAAGACTCTGTCTCAAAAAAGGAAAAAAAGAAAACCAATTTGACTGCCACCAGGTACAGTTAGGAAGGATTAACAGGGACAGGGATGACAATGGCTAGAAGCACCATGTGCTTCCTGTGCGCCAGGCACCTTTTACGAACTTCACATGTCAACTTGTTTAGCCCTTGCAGCACTTCTGTGTGATTGGACGATTATTATCCCTATTTTATAGATGAGAAACTAAAGCCAGAGTGGCTGAGTAATGTGCCCAGGGTCACACAGCCAATAAAAAGAGCAGTGCTGCAATTCAACCCAGTCCGACTCCAAAGTCAAACCAGTGATATGGGGACACAATCCACCACCCACTGCCATTTGGCCCAGGTAAGCTAGATTCAGTGAGACCCTCAGAGGTCTCGGGCTACCTTGTGAAGCTGAGCCCTAGACCCAAGCCACGTGATAAGCCCACAGAGTGCCTGCTACTCACGTGGTTGTGGATGAAAAGTCGAATGTGTTTCCGGGGGTAGTGGAGCCGCAGGAGCCGCTGGAAGAACAGGGACACGAACGGCGTGGGCTGTTCGATGAACACACCGACCAGGACGGTGGGCAGAGCTTCATCCTGCACCAGGGAGGGCGGCATGAGAGTCCAGCTGTGTCCAGCCACGGGGGAACCACATCCTGCCACAGCGCTGCCACTCCACCCCAGGGTGGCCCAAGGGAACCAGAGCCAGAGTCAGAAGCATGTGGACTTCCCAAGAAAGGTGCCTGGGCCTTTCCAGGCAGGGGGTCCAGGGGGCAGGGAAGCAGCAGGAGGGCTCCCGGGGAGGGAGCAGCAGGAGCCCAGGCCTGGAGCGAGGACCCAGTTGAGGGCCTGCCATCAGGAAATCATGGCTGGTGTGGTGTTCAAGGTGAGCCACAAATGAGAAGTGTGCCTGAAGGACAAGGCAGAAGAAAGCAGAACCTGGACATCTCAGGGGAAGCGAGATACATACAGTCTGAGAGGGCTGCCAAGAGGAGGCACTTGGGTGGCAACTGGGATAGAACCCCAGGCAGGCAGGTGACCCCTTGACTTTCCACCAAAGACAATGAAGTCTATTCCAGAATCACCCATCCTCCTCGTCATCTCAGAGGACTGAGCCTCCCATGTCCCTCAGGCACCGGCCTGGGCGCAGCCTCACCCCAATGCCCTTGAGGCTACGCAGGCCCTCGTCACACACAGTGCAGCCCGTCTCGAAGGTCCAGAAGCGTGGGATGTAGTTGCCCAGGTAGTTCAGCTGCAGCTGTCGGAGAGACGTGGGGTCACAGAGGAGCCGGCCAGTCCCACCCACCACAGCCCGGACTCACATCTCCCTGGGACCAGGTGGGTCGGCACCATCCAGCCCCCTTCCACCCCCTGAGCAGGTCTTGGAGACAATGCTCCATCCCAGGAGATGAACAAGCCGGTCTGAAAGAGTGTATAGGAGGGTTTGTCGCTCTAGTGCTTCTCCCAGGAGCTTGTAAAATTCCTAGGTCCTACCCTGCTCAGAGATTCCAACTGAACAGATCCTGGGTGGAGTCAGGAAATCTGCATTTTAAACACATCACATCCTCCTTCCTCTCCCTCATTCAGGCGGTGAAGGACCACACTCAAATATGCTGTGAGCTATGAGCCAGTTCCCCAGGGGCCAGTGAGGTCCATCCTGTACCTGGCCGCATCTGGACCCAGTCCCCTCCATCACCATAAACACAGGACATCTGTCCTACTTATGACCAACTATGTCTTATTGTCCTGTGCAAACATGGAATAAATATTTAGAGTGAATAAATGACTCTGCCCTGGGGTGACAGAGTGTGGATGGTTCTGGTAGCCCAGCCTAGGCCTGGATGGGGACAGCAGCCTCCTCTGTGTCCTGTGCCCAGCGAGAATAGACAGATTACCACTGACCATCACAGCAGGAAAAGAGGGCACCACGCTGAGCTCAGATGTGAGAAGAGAGTCAATGAGTTCATTGCAGGCCCCAGGTAGGTGGCCCTGGCCCCAGGGAGACACTATGGGGTCACAGTGGGAATGAAAGTGGAGCTCTGTCACCCTCCCACACTCCCCAGGAGCTGGGGCCCCCCTACCTTGGTTGGCCCATTGCCATGGATCAGGACCGGGAGGGTGTCATAGGCCAGATTCCTCGCTCTCACGTGGCCCATTTCAAACTTGAGCACGACCTCATCTGGGGGTCAGAAAGCACAGACCCACCCAGCATCAGACCCAGAAGTCAAGCTCAGGGTCCGACCAGCTGGGCTTAGATCCCAGCTCTGCAGTAAGTAGGCTATGGCCTTGGGCACGTCACTTCTCTCTAAGCCTCAGTTTCCTTTCCTAAAAAATAGGAATAATCCCTTCTTCATGGGGTGAAGGGGAGGATTTGTGTTGGGCAAGCATGGGGCACCAAGCCTGGTCCATGATGAGCACAAAATCCTTGGCAACCCCTATAATTGTTGTGGTTACTTAGAGCCAGGAGGGGCTGGGAGAAGAACAAAGACCTGGGACATCCTAGCTCCAGGCAACTCAGAGAAGCCCAAAGGACAAGGGTCTGGGAGGCCCCTTCTCTGAGTAGGCAGAGCAGACTGAGAAAATGCCAGTCACATGAGGGTGGGGGGAGGCCTGGGCATGATCAGGGCAGATCTTGTCCCATTGGAAGGAGCCTCTGCAACAGGGTCCCAATACCCATATTTGACCTATTCGTCTGCACATAGGAAAATGGGTATTTCGGCTGGGCACAGTGGCTCACACCTGTAATCCCAGCACCTTGGGAGGCCAAGGTGGGAGGATCACTTGAGCCCAGGAGTTTGAGACCAGCCCGCACAACATAGTGAGACCCTGTCTCTGTTTAAAAAATTAAAATAGGGCTGAGCATGATGGCTCATGCCTGTAATCTCAGCACTTTGGGAGGCCGAGGCAGGCGGATCACTTGAGGTCAGGAGTTTGAGACCAGCCTGGCCAACATGGTGAAATCCTGTCTCTACTAGAAAAATATAAAAATTAGCCGGGCATGGTGGCAGGTGCCTGTAATCCCAGCTACTTGGGAGGCTGAGGCAGAAGAATTGCTTAACCTGGGAGGTGGAGGTTGCAGTGAGCCAAGATTTTGCTACTGCACTCCAGCCTGGGTGACAGAGCGAGACACCATCTTAAAAAAAAAAAAAAAAAAAGGGAAAACAGGTAGCTCCTGACCTGCCTGGATCTGAACTCAGTGCTTCTTAACCCCCAGAAACCACAGTCAAACGGGTATGGTATTTCTGCATTTTTCCGGGAGCAGAGCCATAGCTTTCATCAGATTCTCAAAAGGGCCCATTTATCCCACAAAATCAGCTATCAGTGGATGTGGTTCACTTCCCTTTTGTAAAGATGAGAAAACTGAGTCTCCTGTGGGAGGGGGTGTGACTTGCTTGAGGTCACTCAGCAAGGCCTGTGGCAAAGCAACATCATCACCAGCCACTGACATGAGGCCTGGCCCAGGGAAGTTTGCGCCATCAAGGCTAGAGCAGCCTTTCTGCTTCCCAGGTTGCCCGTCCCACCAGCTGAGTCCCTGCCTCCAGCCCAAGACTCCTTCCCCTGGAAGGTGGGAAGGCCAGGAAAGCAGGGAAAGGGAACCCACCTGTAAGGACCTGGTATGCAGGGCAGGGTGTCCAGCACCTGCTGTGTGCATCCCCCAACTCCTCCCAGGCTGAATGCTCACCTGTCCCTGGCCCCCAAGAGAGACACAGTTCTGCGCTAGGACATCCAGGTGGCCCCTGCGGACCCCGAGATGAGATCAGTGACCTCCCAGCACAATGACCAGAGGGAAGTAGCCCAGTTCTCCTCCTTGGACTCAGGCCCTGCCTGGAATCCTTCCTATCACCCCTCTCAGGATCAACTCCTCCCTGTGGGGGCTGCTCACCCAAGGCTCCATCCAGGTTCTGGAAGATACGGCAGCGGTGGTCCAGGGTGATATTGATCTGCTCCTGCAGGAAAGAAAGTACCAGGCTGCAGTAGGGGAAGGCCCTGGGGGAGGCTGGGGCTACATCTCACCCACTGTGGGGAGTCTATACCCCAACCTCAGCCCTCTCTCCCCACACGTACTCTGCCACGTCACATCAGGGCAGGTGGGCGCCCAGAGAAGGCCACCAGCCAAGCTCCCGGGGTCTACAGTCTAGTGACTCCATTCACAGAAAACCAGGGACTCTCTGAACTGGAAGGAATCTAAAGATGCAGCTGGCTCACTTACAATGACGGCCTTAAGGGTAACCAGCGCCTGCCAAACACTCCACTACATGAACATCGCTACTCCAAATATTCTACACGTGGGTCGGGTGTGGCGGCTCACACCTGTCATCCCAGCACTTTGAAAGGGTAAGGCAGAAGGATCACTTGAGCCCAAGAGTTTGAGACTAGCCTGGGTAACATAGCACAACTTCATCTCTATAAAAAAATTTTGGCCAGGTGCAGTGGCTCACGCCTATAATCCCAGCACTTCAGGAGGCCGAGGTGGGCGGATCACGAGGTCAGAAGATCGAGACTATCCTGGCTAACATGGTGAAACCCCGTCTCTACTAAAAATACAAAAAATTAGCCGGGGGCGGTGGCAGCATCTGTAGTCCCAGCACCTATAGTCAGGAGGCTGTGGCAGGAGAATCAATTGAACCTGGGAGGCAGAGGTTGCAATGAGCCTAGATCATGCCACTGTACCCCAGCCTGGGTGACAAAGCAAGACTCCATCTCAGAAAAAAATAATAATCAAATAAAAATTCAAATTAGACCCACACAGTGGCACATGCCTATAGTCCCGGCTACTTGGGAGGCTGAGATGGAAGGATCGCTTGGGTCCGGGAGGTTGAGGATGCAGTGAGCTGTATTTTTGCCACTGCACATCAGCCTGAGTGACAGTGATGCCTCAAATAAATAAAATACTCTACATATGTTAATTAATTTAATCCTGACAACATCTCTGTGAGAGAGTACTATTCATTATTGCTATTTATTTATTTATTTATTTGAGATGGAGTCTTGCTCTTGTTGCCCAGGCTGGAGTGCAGTGGCGCGATCCCAGCTCACTGCAACCTCTGCCTCCCTGGTTCAAGTGATTCACCTGCCTCAGCCTCCTGAGTAGATGGGATTACAGATGCACACCGCCACGCCTGGCTAATTTTTTGTATAAGGTTTCACTATGTTGGTCAGGCTAGTCTGGAACTCCTGTCCTCAGGCGATCCACCCACCTTGGCCTCCCAAAGCGTTGGGATTACAGGCGTGAGCCACCATGCTGGCTCACTATTGCAATTTATAACTGAAAAAACAAGGCACAGAGAAGTTGCCCAATGTTACATAGCTAGTAAATGGTGAGATGGGATTAGAACCCAGGGAGCCTGGCCCTGAAGTCCTTATTCTAAACCACTGGAAAATGCTGCCTCTTTAAGACCCAAAGGCCAGGCATGGTGCTTTAATCCCAGCATTTTGGGAGGCTGAGGCAGGTGAATCACCTGAGGACAGGAGTTCAAGACCAGCCTGGCCAACATGGTGAAAACCCATCTTTACTAAAAATACAAATATTAGCCGGGCATGGTGGCGTGCACCTGTAATCCCAGCTATTCGAGAGACTGAGGCAGGAGAATCACTTGAACCCAGGAGGTGGAGGTTGCAGCGACCCAAGATTGTGCCATTGTACTCCAGCCTGAATGATAGGAGTTGAAACTCCACCTCAAAAGAGAAAAAAAACAACCCGACTATGTCAGCCAGGTGCGGTGGCTCACATCTGTAATCCCAGCACTATGGGAGGTTGAGGTGGGTGGGTCCTTGAGCCCAGAAGTTCAAGACCAGCCTGGGCAACATGTTGAGACCCCATCTTGACAAAAAATACAAAAATTAGCCAGAGCATGGTGGTGCGCCTGTGGTTCCAGCTACTCAGGCTGGGTGGGAGTACAGCTGGAGCCCGGGAGGCCGAGGCTGCAGTAAGCCATGTCCGAGCCACTGCTCCAGCCTGGGCAACGTGGCGAGATCCTGTCTCCAAAAAAAAAAAAAAAAAAAAGACTAAATTGTGTCTCATGGGGCCCTAGGCAGGGCAAGGAAGGGCAGATGTCACTCGAGGCTTATCCTTCATCCCATATAGGGAAGCTCTAGTTCTGTGAAGGATGTCACTGGAGGCAAAGGGGAAGGAGGGGGAAGGACTGAGGTAACAAAAAGATCATAGTTTCCACCATACAAGCCCAACTGCTTCATTTTATGGATTATCAAAATCAACACCCAGGCCAGATGTGGTGGCTCACACCTGTAATCCCAGCACTTGGGAGGCCAAGGCAGGTGGATCACTTGAGATCAGGAGTTCAAGATCAGCCTGGCCAACATGGTTGAAACCCATCTCTACTAAAAATACAAAAATGGGTCGGGCGAGGTGGCTCACACTTGTAATCCCAGCACTTTGGGAGGCCACGGCAGGAGGATCACAAGGTCAAGAGATTGAGGCCATCCTGGCCAACATGATAAAACCCCATCTCTACTAAATTACAAAAAATTAGCCAGGCATGGTGGTGCGCGCCTATAGTCCCAGCTACTCAGGAGGCTGAGGCAGGGGAATCATTTGAACCCAGGAGGCAGAGATTGCAGTGAGCTGATATCACGCCACTGCACTCCAGCCTGGTGACAAAGCGAGCCTCCATCTCAAAAATAAATAAATAAGTAAATTCCAGCCTGAGAGGAGCTATTCCCACATAGCCTGGCCGATGGATCCCCAGCCCCCTCTCCTTGGCCCGCCCACTGCCTCTTACCCTCTTCTCCGGATCCAAGAAGATCTTGGTGTAAAACAGCTGATCGCTGTCGCTGTCCTGGCCATCCCACTCGGCCACCAGTTTGCTGAGGTTGGGGGCATAACCGATGAAGCCTGGAGGTTGGTGGTTGGGGACACCAAAAGAGACCCTTGGCTTCCAGCCTCTAAGCCAGGGGTCTCCTCCACCCTTCCAGCTCATCCACCTTCACTCATATGCCCACAAACCCTGCCACCTCTCAGAAGTCCTCCTGAATTGACAGGAGATGGGTCTGCAGGTTGGAAATGGGCCTGCCAGTGAATGCCACTTATTAATGAGTTCCTACTGACCCCAAGAATAAGACTAACAGTGCCCACTAAGCTGTACTGTTCACTGCTGGGCACCACGTACATGACAAAGAAATGGACTGATGCAGGAGCCCCCAGAGAGCAGGGCTTGGAGAGTGCAGGCCTGGTGCCCCTTCTTACAGTTATCTGAGAAACCTGGGCCAGAGAAGGGCAAGGCTGGGCCAAGCTCACACAATGCCTTGGAGGCTAAGACCTGGCATAGTGGGGAAGCCACCTGGGCCCTGCCTAGAGTACAGATTGGTGAGAGGCAACCAGAAGGGCAATGGGACACCACTACTCCTGAGCCAGGGCAAGGCCATCTGGACTGCGCTTACTCTGAACCAATGGAGAAGAGTATCTGTTGAGGGCAGATCTCCATCTGAGGTTGAAAAGAGACCTGTGGATTTTATTCTCCACATAGTGGGAAATCATTAAGTGATGTGTGGATCTGCATTTTTTTTTTAATCTACTTTTTTGAGAGCAGGGGCACAATCTCGGCTCACTGCAACCTCCACCTCCTGGGTTAAAGCGATTCTCTTGCCTCAGCCTCCCAAGTAGCTGGGATTACAGGCATGTACCATCATGCCTGTAATTATTTATATTTTTACATATATATATATTTTTCTTTTTCCTTTTTTTTTTTGGGATGGAGTTTCGCTCTCGTTACCCAGGCTGGAGTGCAATGGCGCAATCTCGGCTCACCGCAACCTCTGCCTCCTGGGTTCAGGCAATTCTCCTGCCTCAGCTTCCTGAGTAGCTGGGATTACAGGCACACGCCACCATGCCCGGCTAATTTTTTGTATTTTTAGTAGAGACGGGGTTTCACCGTGTTGACCAGGATGGTCTCGATCTCTTGACCTCGTGATCCACCCGCCTCGGCCTCCCAAAGTGCTGGGATTACAGGCTTGAGCCACCGCGCCTGGCCATTTTTTATATTTTTATATTTAATTTTTATATTTTTAGTAGAGACCGGGCTTTGCCATGTTGGCCAGGCCGTTCTCAAACTCCTGACCTAAAGTGATCCACCCTCCTTGGCCTCCCAAAGTGTTGAGATTACAGGCATGAGCCACTGTGCCCAGTCTTGGATTTACATCATTTTAAGACCCCTCTGGCTGCTGGATGGAGAATGCCCTGGAAAGGCACAAGGGCAGGGATTGGTAGAGCAGTAAGGAAACTCTTACTGAAGGCCAGGAGCCCAGTTAGAATGGTGGCAGTGAACTGTGGGCAGGAGACAGCAGATTCCAGAGATCTTTCGGAAGTAGGAGGCAGGTAACCAGGTATGGTTACTCATACCTATAATCCCAGCACTTTGGGAGGCCAAGGCGGGCAGATCACAAGGTCAGGAGTTCAAGACCAGCCTGGCCAACATGGTGAAACCCTGTCTCTATTTATTTATTTATTTTTTTTCTTTCTTTTTTTTTTTTGGGACGGAGTTTCGCTCTTGTTACCCAGGCTGGAGTGCAATGGCACGATCTCGGCTCACCGCAACCTCTGCCTCCTGGGTTCAGGCAATTCTCCTGCCTCAGCCTCCTGAGTAGCTGGGATTACAGGCACGCACCACCATGCCCAGCTCATTTTTTGTATTTTTAGTAGAGACGGGGTTTCACCATGTTGACCAGGATGGTCTCGATCTGTTGACCTCGTGATCCACCCACCTCGGCCTCCCAAAGTGCTGGGATTACAGGCTTGAGCCACCGCGCCCGGCCCCCTGTCTCTATTTAAAAAAAAAAAAAAAAAAAAGAGGCCGGGTGCGGTGGCTCACGCCTGTAATCCTAACACTTTGTGAGGCTGAGGTGGGTGGATCACCTGAGGTCAGGAGTTCAAGTCCGGCCTAGCCATCATGGTGAAACCCCATCTTATTTTTAAAAAAGAAAAAGAAATAAAAAACTAGCTGGGCATAGTGGTGCATGCCTGTAATCCCAGCTACTCGGATGGCTGAGGCAGGAGGATTGCTTGAGCCCAAGAGGCGGAGGCTGCAGTGAGCTGAGATTGCACCACTGTACTCCAGCCTAAGTGACAGACTGAGGCACATCTCAAAATAAAAAAGGAAGTAGGCTGGGAGTGGTGGCTCACACTTATAATCCCAGCACTTTGGGAGGCCAAGGCGGGCAGATCACCTGAGGTCAGGAGTTTGAGACCAGCCTGACCAACATGAAGAAACCCCATTTTTACTAAAACTACAAAATTAGCTGGATGTGGTGACACATGCCTGTAATTCCAGCTACTTGGGAGGCTGAGGCGGGAGAATCGCTTGAACCAGGGAGGTGGAGGTGAGGAGCCATTGCACTTCAGCCTGGGGAACAAGAGCAAAACTCTGTCTCAAAAAAAAAAAAAAAAAAGGAAGTATTAGACAGGTTAGACAGGTGACTGGCAAATGAGGCGTCAGGAGTGACTCCTGGGTTCTGTCGTGGGGCTGGCCATCTGCTGAATGAGATGAGGAAAACCACAGGGGAACACATTTGGGGTTGGAAAGTCAGGAGCTCTATTCAGAACGTTCTGGAGACTTATGAGACACCCACACTGAATGTCAAACAAGTGGGGTCCTCACAAAGGCAGTGGATGGGCCCCTCTGCTAGGGCAAGCGCCCTGCACCCAGGCCTCTCACCTCCAGAGCCCAGGAACCTCTTGCCATCGGAGACTGCCGGATACTTGGCTTCCAGCCTGCGGTCTGGGTAGATGAGCTCCTCGGCCGAGAAGACCACCTGGCTCCTGGCCTGCCGGAACTTCTTCAGGAGCTCCCGGGGCCCCGATGCAAACAGCACATCATAGCTGTGGCCAGAACAGCAAGAAGATGGGGCAGGGCAGGGGTGAGCAGGGAGCCAGTGAGGGCACAGACCGGAGGAGCAAGGATCAAGCTCTCCACAAATGGCCCTCTGCCCACACCAGCCTGGGCCACCAGCTGGGAAATGGATCTGCCTCAGTCTGCAGCCCTGTCTGCCATGTTCCCACCCCTACGCTGGGCAGAGAGATGGTCCCCATAACATATCATCTTCTCTGACTTAAAGTGGGGCCATCACACTCCTGGGTCACCTCCTTTTCACCAAGCCTGGGAATGGACACCCTAAAACTGTAGGCAACCTTAGCCAGAGTCATCCCCCTTCTTCCCTGATGTTCTCGAAGGGCCTCATTTTAGAATTCTTCTGTCTTCCTCAGAGGAGCCCAGGCCAGGAAGCCCCGGCCCACCTACCTGTCTGTGAAGAGAATGACCAGGTCCTCCTTGTCTGCGTGTTTCTCCAGAGCTTTCTTCAGCAGCCGGACCTTTTGCCCTCCACCTGCCGATGTCCTCTTCTCCACATTCCAGTCCTCCCCCAAGCCAAGCGCCTGGAGAGAAACACACCTTAACACTAGCTTTTGGTAAAAAAATATTTTTCCAGGGCCAGGTGTGGTGGCTCAGGCCTGCAATCCCAGCACTTTGGGAAACCAAGGCATGTGGATCACCTAAGGTTAGGAATTCGATGCCAGACTGGCCAACTTGGAGAAATCCTGCCTTTACTAAAAACACAAAAATTAGCCGGGTGTGGTAGCACACACCTCTTATTTCAGCTATTCTGGAGGCTGAGGCAGGAGAATCACCTGAACCCAGGAGGTGGGGGTTGCAGTGAGCCAAAATCACGCCATTGCACTTTAGCCTGTGTGACAGAGCGAGACTCCATCTCAAGGAAAAAAAAAAGAAAGAAATATTTTTTTTGCTTCTGTGGGTCCAGCAACTCTGATCCTTTCCTGTAAGGAAACCATTCTCCAACAACGTGAGGCTCACCTGGCTCCTGGTGGTCATGTGACCATGTGTGGCCAATCAGAATGTCCTACACTTTCTGCTCCTCCCACACCTAGAAATTTGAGCACATGACCCCAGCATGGCCCATCAGCACCTTCCCTGGGGCTGTTTCTGTTAAAAACAGAACAGTCCGCCCTACGCAGTGGCTCACTTCTGTAATCCCAGCACTTTGGGTGGCCGAGGCAGGCAGATCATGAGGTCAGAAGTTTGAGACCAGCCTGACCAACATGGTGAAACCCTGTCTCTACTAAAAATACAAAACTTAGCCAGGCATGGTGGCGCATGCTTGTAATCCCAGCTACTCAGAAGGCTGAGGCAGGAGAATTGCTTGAATTCAGGAGATGGAGGAAGCAGTGAGTTGAGATCGCACCACTGCACTTCAGCCTGGGTGACACAGCAAGTCTCCATTTCAAACAAACAAACAAAAAACGGAACAGTCTACAGAACTTTCCTAAAAAGGAAAGGCTGCCTCCTGCTTAAGTTAAGAAGCTGGGGCACATGAGTCTGGTTGGTGGTCTGGTGGTCAGCTTGCCACCACGATGAAAACAGGGCCTAGAGGCCGGGCGCGGTGGCTCAAGCCTGTAATCCCAGCACTGTGGGAGGCCTAGGCGGGTGGATCACGAGGTCAAGAGATCGAGACCATCCTGGTCAACATGGTGAAACCCCGTCTCTACTAAAAATACAAAAAATTAGCTGGGCATGGTGGCGCGTGCCTGTAATCCCAGCGACTCAGGAGGCTGGGGCAGGAGAATTGCCTGAATCCGGGAGGCGGAGGTTGCGGTGAGCCGAGATCGCGCCATTGCACTCCAGCCTGGGTAACAAGATCGAAACTCCGTCTCAAAAAAAAAAAAAAAAAAAAAAAAAAAAAGAAAACAGGGCCTAGAGATGGAAAGACAAGGCCCTCACTTTGCTGCTTGAACCCCTGGATCCAGCCATACCTGAAGCAACCCTCTGCTTCAGCCCTCATTCATGTGAGCTAATATACTTGTTTGCTGGCTTAATGCCACCAGATTGCAAATTCTGTATAGGCAATGACATGTTCTGCCTTGTCCATCACCCTATTGCCAGTGCCCAACCTTGTGCCTGACATAAGGAAGCACTCAGGACTCAGCCCCATGGACTGTACACAGAGAACACCAAGCCCATGCCAGTGATCGACTGGGCATTAGCTCATGTTTCTTTTTTCTTTTCTTTTGAGATAGGGTCTCGCTCTGTTGTCCACGCTGGAGTACAGTGATGCCATCTCTGTTCACTGCAACTTCCACCTCCTGGGTTCAAGGAATTCTCCTGCCACACCCTCCCGAGTAGCTGGGGCTACAGGCATGTGCCACCATGCCCAGCTAATTTTTATTTTTTTTTTTTTTTTGAGACAGAGTCTCACTCTGTCAGCAGGCTGGAGTGCAAGAGAGCAATCTTGGTTCACTGCAACCTATGCCTCCTGGGTTCAGCCTCCTGAGTAGCTGGGATTCCAGGCATGTGCCCCCATGCCCAGCTAGTTTTTATATTTTTAGTAGAGACAGGGATTCACTATGTTGGCCAGGATGGTCTCGATCTCTTGACCTCGTGATCCGCCCACCTCAGCCTCCCAAAGTGCTGGGATTACAGGTGTGAGCCACCACATCCAACCTTTTTTGTATTTTTATTAGAAATGGGGTTTCGCCATGTTGGCCAGCCTGGTCTCCAACTCCTGACCTCAAGTGATCCACCCGCCTCAGCCTCCCAAAGTACTGGGATTACAGGCATGAGCCACTACACCCGGGCAACCACTCATGTTTCTTTAGAACAGGGAAGGTGTCTAGACCATGCTCATCTACAACACCTGGAGGAGCTTGTGGAAATGCTGATCCCAAGGCCCTGTTCTCTAAACTAGCCTCTCAGGTTAGGCATCTGGACACTTCTCTAGCCAACTCTGTCCCTCTCCATCACCCCCTAGACTCATGCTGTGTCCTCTGCCACGTCTTCCCATTCCCGACTAACTCATTTTCATCCTTCAGGCTTCCGTAAGCCTCCCCCATGACCCCAAGTCTATCTCAAGAGCTGTGGTGGTTTGGAAGGACATCAGCTCCTAGATTCTTCTGCCCCTCACTGTCTCTGCCTCGCCCAGGAAGCCCCTTACCTGGATCTTGTAGTTGAAGAACTGGGCTGAGCGCTTGAAGCGGCGGAACCCCTCGGTCTCCTTAGTGGCCACTGTGATGACTAAAAGGTTGTCTGCAGACAGAGGAGGGTATGGTGAATGGGAATGGAGGATGAAAGAGGTGACAGGGAGGAGGAGTCTTTGTTCCCAGTGACCTGTCAAATCCTAGCAGGCAGTGTCTTCATGTCAACCCATTACAGAACAGGGCCCAGGAAGGAAGGGATAATGGAGAGGAAATAACCCAGGTCTCCTGAGTCTTCTTCAGGGCTCCCTCCACCCAGTAATGACTGATAGAGAGTTGGATATTTGTCACCTCCAAATCGCATGTTGAAATGTGATCCCCAATGTTGGAGGTGGGGCCCAGTGGGAGGTATTTGGGTCATGGAGACAGATCTCTTATGAATGGCTTGATGCCATCTCCTTGGTAATGAGTGAGTTCTTGCTCTGAGTTCACGTGAGAGCTGGTTGTGTTTTGGTTGGTTGGTTGGTTTGTTGTTTTTGAGATGGAGTCTTACTCTGTTACCCAGGCTGCAGCACAGTGGCATGATCTCAGCTCACTGCAACCTCCACCTCCTGGGTTCAAGATATTCTCCTGCCTCAGTCTCCCAAATAGCTGAAAATACAGATGCGTGCCACCATGCCTGACTAATTTTTGTATTTTTAGTAGAGATGGGTTTTCGCCATGTTGGCTAGGCTGGTCTCGAACTGCTGACCCAGATCTGGTGATCTGCTTCAGCATCCCAAAGTGCTGGGATTACAGGAGTGAATCACCATGCCTGGCCAAGAGAGCTGTTCTGTTTTGTTTTAATTTTTTTTTTTTTTTTTTTTTTTTGAGGGGGATTTTCACTCTTTCCCCAGGCTGGAGTGCAATGGCGTGATCTTGCCTCACTGCAACCTCCACCTCCCAGGTTAAAGCGATACTCCTCCCTCAGTCTCCTGAGTAGCTGGGACTACAGGCACCCTCCAGCATGGCCGGCTAATTTTTGTATTTTTAATAGCAGTGGAGTTTTACCATGTTGGCCAGGCTTGTCTCAAACTCCTGACCTCAAATGATCCACCCACCTCGGCCTCCCAAAGTGCTAGGATTACAGGCATGAGCCAGTGTGCCCAGCCAAGAGCTGGTTTTTTAAAAGAGCCTTGCACTTCCTCCTCTCTCTTGCTATGGCTCTCACCATGTGATATGCCTACTCCCCCTTCATCTTCTGCCATGAGTAAAAGCTTCCTGAGGCCTCACTGGAAACAGAGCAGATGCTGGTGGTATGCTTGTACAGCCTGCAGAACTGTGAGCTAAATAAACCTCTTTTCTTGAGAAATTACCCAGGCCTCGGGTACTTCTTTACAGCAACATAAAACAAATAACAATGACCAACATGTCTACGGCACATGCTTTATGTGCCATAGACAGGTGTCTACACCCTGCATTATAGGACTGAGTTTCTGGCTTTAGAGGACGTGGGAAAAAGAATTTACTCTGAATGCTGACCACCAGGAAGATCTCTGTGGCCAGTGATAGACATTAGCCCAGGATGGCAAATACATGGCTCACAGGTCCCTGCCCTTCACACCTGCACTCAGAGCAGACATTTCTAATCTATCCCAGTCTTTCTTGCTGAGTTATCACATGGCTCTGGATTCTTCCAACGCCATGCTTGAGGCTGATATAACCAATGAGTTGGCCCAGAGTAAAAACTGACTTGAAATCCATTGATCCACTCCTGACCTTTGGCCAGAGCAACCATTCCTACTTTTTTTCTTTTTTTTTTTTTTGAGATGGAGTCTCATTCTGTCACTCAGGCTGGAGTGCAGTGGCGTGATCTCGGCTCACTGCAACTTCCGTCTCCTGAGTTGAAGCAATTCTCCTGACTCAGCCTCTTGCGTAGCTGGGATTATGGGTGTGAGCCACCAAGCCGGGCTAATTTTTGTGTTTTTAGTAGAGACCAGGTTTCACCACATTGGCCAGGCTGGTCTTGAACTCCTGACCTGGTGATCCACCCACCTCAGCCTCCCTAAGAGCTGGGGTTACAGGTGTGAGCCACCGCACCTGGCCCCATTCCTACATTTTAACAAGGAACCTCTCCCAGGCTCTGTAGTGTGACCTGCCTCTGCAACAGAACCTTCTGGAAACAACTCCCCAGAGAGCATCTTAGGGAGCCCTGGGGAAACCCCTCCCAGAGCACACTTTGAGGCTGTGTTCTCTGAGAAGTGAGGAGTCTGGAGCTAGCCTGCCTGGTTAGAATCCTAGCTCTGCTCCTTACTAGCCGTGTAACGTGGGGCAAGTCCCTATCCCTTCTGAGACTCAGTTTCCCCCTTGGAAAGCAGGGATAATAACAGTACCTACTTCTCAGGGCTGCTGGAGTAATTAAATGATACCAACCATGTAAAATCCTTATTGGGATGCTCGGCACACATGAAGAGGTATTACTGAAGTCCAGGCACGGTGGCTCATGCCTGTAATCCCAGCACGTTGGGAGGCTGAGGCAGGCAGATCACCTGAGGTCAGGAGTTCAAGACCAGCCTGGCCAACATGGTGAAACCCCATCTCTACTAAAAATACAAAAATTAGCGTGGTGGCGTGTGCCTGTAGCCCCAGCTATTTGGGAGGCTGAGAGAGGAGAACTGCTTGAACCCAGGAGGTGGAGGTTGCAGTGAGCCAAGATCACGCCACTGCACTACAGCCCAGGCAACAAAGCAAGACTCTGTCTCCAAAAAAAAGAGAGAGATATTACTGGCCTGGTATTCAACACCCTCTCTGATCTGGAGGGTGATACTCATCCCTCTCCACCATGCGGCCCCCTTCCAACTGGGGGTGTCTCTGCTTGCTGGGTTCCTCCCATCCTACCATGGCTCCGTGTCCCCTTTCTTGTTTTTGTTTTTTGGGGGTTTTGTTTTGGAGACCCAGTCTCACTCCCATTGCCCGGACTGGAGTGCAGTGGCACGATCATGGCTCACTGTAGCCTCGACTTCCTGCACACAGGTGATCCTCCCACCTCAGCCTCCTGAGCAGCTCAAGGGACTACAGGTGCACACAAGCATGCCCCGCTATTTTTTTTTAGTAGAGATGAGGTTTCACCATGTTGCTCAGGCTGGTCTGGAACTCCTAGCCTCAACCAATCTTCCCACCTCAGCCTCCCAAAGTGCTGGGAATACAGGCGTGAGCCAGCAAACCCAGCCTGTCTTCTTTCTGTAACCTTCCTCCAGGTCCCAGGGCCAGTGACAATGACGTCCCTTCCACCTCTATGAAGCCTTCTCGGATTTCTTCTGCCCTCTCTGGCCTCCCAGCCGCAGAGGCAAGACCCACTCTGCAGTGCTCATCATTGTCTCCTTGGGTAAGTCTTAGCTCCCTCAGGGTCGAGGCTTACACTTTTCACCTGGTGGCCAGATTGACAGCAGGCAGGTAAGGCCTTCCCCTCCCAGCACCTCAGGAAGTCAGGAAGAGCCTGGACTGGAGGAACAAAGGGGCCTGGCTTGCCAGAGCTGGCAGGACAGGGGCAGCCGCAGACCCAGCAGGGAGCTGGCCCCAGGGCAGGGGGCTGACGCCAGGCAGCCCAGTAGGGCTTGGCAGGGATCAGCTGTGAGTGGGCCCAGGGACCTGGGAGAGGGGGTGTATACACCAGGCAGATGTGGGCAAAAGGTCTCACCACCTGACCCTAGGATCCAGAGAAGAGGGGTGCTGCTCACACGTGGGGCAGGGCTCCCCGCAACTCTTGCCAGGACGGTGAAATCTCCCCCAGGTGAAGAGAACCAGAGCCACCAGCTCTGAGGCCCTCTTGTCAACAGAGGGCTGCTGGGGACATTAGGAGTGTCACATTTCATGGATGGAAAAACCCAGCATGAGACACTGTGAGTGAGAGAGAGAGAGAGAGAGAGAGAGAGAGAGAGTGTGTGTGTGTGTGTGTGTGTGTGTGTGTGTTTGTGAGTGTGTGTGCACATGCATGCACAATTCAGGATTCTTGATGGGCACAGGCTCTCGAACTCAAGCAGCAGGGGTTAGGGGAGGGGATGGGGTAGCCTGACTCAAAGCCCCTTTCTCAAGTTCCTGCTTCTCAGTAACAGCAACAATAATGGCTACCTTCACTGAGCATTTTCCACGTACCAGACACTGTTCCTTTTTTCTGAGACAGTCTCACTCTGTCACCAAGTCTGGAGTACAGCGGTGCGATCTCAGCTCACTGCAACTTCCACCTCCTGGGTTCAAGCAATTATCATGCCTCAGCCTCTGGAGCAGCTGAGATTACAGGCGCTGGCCACCATGCCTGGCTAATTTTTTTGTATTTTTAGTAGAGTCAGGGTTTCACCATGTTGGCCAGGCTTATCTCAAACTCCTGACCTCAAGTTATCGGCCAGCCTCAGCCTCCCAAAGTCCTGGGATTACAGGATGAGTCACCACACCTGGCCTTTTTTTTTTTTTTTTTTTTTTTGAGACAGAGTCTGGCTCTGTCCCCAGGCTGGAGTGCAGCTGCTCAATCTGGCTCACTGCAACCTCTGCCTCCAGGGCTCAAATGATTCTCCTGCCTCAGGCTCCCGAGTAGCTGACATTATAGGTGCATGCCACCACACTCCATTGATTTTTGTATATTTAATAGACAGGGTTTCACTATGTTGGCCAGGCTAGTCTCAAACTCCTGACCTCAGGAGATCCGCCTGCCTCAGCCTCTCAAAGTGCTGAGATTACAGGCATGAGCCGGCGTGAGCCACCGTGCCCAGCCAATGCTGATCTAAGCACTTCATACATACTAACCCCCCACTTTCCAGTTAGGAAACCAAGGCTAGAGCTGGTGAGTAACATGCCCAAGCTAGGAAGTAGCAGCACCAGGACTTGGACACAAGCCTGAACCCAGAGTCTCCTCTCTTAACCTAAATGCCCTTTCCCAGCTCACTGTCAGGCCTGGCCAGAGCAATCCATAAGGCACGGATACATAAGACTCATTTTCAAGCACCAAGGCTCTTCCCACCTGCTTTCTGTCTAGTCCAGCCAGCCTGCCTTGGGCTAAGGCCAAGGCTTGGCACTCAGAGCTCTCAGCCCTCCCCACCTCCTGCCCAACGTCCAGCAATGACTTCCCCAGAAGAACCCGTGATCCAGGATCAGCAGAAATCAATAAGAGACAGCAGAGGGTGTATAAAGACAGATTGCTGGGCAGGGAACTTGGCCTCTCTGTGCCTCAGTTTCCTCATCTGTAAAATGGAAATGATACAGATGATAGCATCTCTCTCCAGAGACTTTCATGAGGATTCAATGAGCTGATGCCATAAAGCGCTTGGCACAGTGCCTGCCTTGGTGGTTGCGGGGGTTCTGGTGACAGGGAGCCTCCCCTAAAATGGGGAGCTGTGCTTGGGTAGGTGCTGCCCTGGGGGTCAGGAATAAAGAGGAGCTGCCTTCCTGAGAGCAAGAATGATGCAGAGGTCAGGCAGGGTTGCTCACGATTGTAATGCCAGCATCTAGGGAGACTGAGGCAGGAGGCTTGTTTGAGGCCAGGAGTTCAAGACCAACCTGAGCAATAAACTGAGACCCTGTCTCTACAAAAAATGAAAAAATTAGCCAGGCGTGGTGGCATGCACCTCTAGTCCCAGCTACTCAGGAAGCTGAGGCAGCAGGATCACTCGAGCCCAGGAAGTGAAGGCTGCAGTGAGCTATAATCATGCTACTGGGACACAGGAATTAGCCAGGTGCAGTGGCTACTCCCAGCACTTTGGGAGGCCAAGGTAGGAATGATCACTTGAGTCTGAGAGTTCGAGACCAGCCTTGGCAACATAGTGAGACCCTGTCTGTACAAAAAAATAAAATTTAATAAAACTTTCAAGAAAAGAATGATGTGGCCGGGCACAGCGGCTCACGTCTCTAATCCTAGCACTTTGGGAGGCCAAGGCAGGTGGATCAGCTGAGATCAGGAGTTCTAGACCAGCCTGGTCAACATGATGAAACCCTATCTCTACAAAAAATACAAAAATTAGCGAGGCATGGTGGCAGGCACTTGTAATACCAGCTGCTCGGGAGGCTGAAGCAGAAGAATCGCTGGAGCCCGGGGGACACAGGTTGCAGTGAGCTGAGATTGCGCTTTTTCATTCCAGCCTGGGCAAGCAAGACTTGAGCCTGAGAGTTCAAGGCCGTCTCAAAAAAAAAAAAAAAAAATGATGTGGAGAGACTGAGTGTGGGGGCGTGCCCATGTGATGAGCTCCTGGAAGAATGGGACCTCTGGGCACCCCTGGTTTGACTGTGCCAGCTGATGCCCCTCCTCCCCAAGCAGTCCCAGCCTGAGGCGTGGGTGGTCACTGTGTGGCCTGAGTCAAGGCACAGTCATGACACACCCAGTCTGCTGCCTGGGGAGGCGGGAATGAATGAAGCCCTTCTCCCTTCCCCCTCCCCCATCCTCCGTCCCCACCCCAGGCTTGAACTGAGGCCAGGAACAGTGTCTGGCAGGAGATGGGGATGCCCAGCACCTGGGAGCTAACTTTGGCCTCCCCGGGGCCAGCTGCCAATTTAGGTCTCCCCAACCCCAGCCCCAGCCCCACACCATCCAGTGCAGCCTTACACCTGGGACCCTTCTGATCTCTAGTCGGGAACAGCACCACCTGAACCCCTAATCCAGCCCAGCTGAGCCTCTGATCTCCTCAGCTATCTGTCCCTCACCGTGGCCAAACCAAGGCCTACAGGGAAAGGCAGGAGGTGGAGATCTGCTAGAAGTTTCTACAAATAGGAGGAAGGGCTGTGGGACATCTGGCCTCTGCTCTAGGGACATCTGCCTGTTTGGATGATGTCTTTTATTCCCCCAGTTCCCTGTGATGGAAGATGTTGCTTTGTTGAAGGCTTCTTGTGTCTCCCACCTTGTTCTGGAAACCCCCTCCCCGCTACCAGGATGCACAATATCTCTTCCCTCAGACATGGGGTGTCTACTGAGGTGAGGTGCTCTGTGCCCCCCTCTGATTGGGAGCCCCCTAAAAGTGAAAACGGTCCCTGTTTCTCTCCATGCACCAAGGCCATGGATTTTGGGTGAGGGAACAGACCGACTGCCGACGGCACCCCACCCAACTCACTCCCCAAGACTCTACAGCAAATCCCCTTCCCCTGCGGCTGAATCCGCCTCAACGGCTGCCCTCCCAACCACCTGCCAGGGAAAGGGAGGAGCTGGCCTCTCTGGGGGCTGCTGGGGTGCCCCCCAAAATACACACACTAGTCAGTAGGCTGCTCAGGCAAGGCCTGCAGGGAAGATGAGCATTTCACTCTGTCCTCCCATCCAGCTGGCTGAAGGTCACACCTCAGCTGGGTCTGGGGGAGCTGAGCAGGCTCCCCAGGCAGTGTTTCCAGGCAACAGCACCCCCCTCCCATCCAGAGGTGCAGAAATGAACAGTAGGTCTGAGTTCCAGATGATGCCCCCACCTCCAACCAGCTCTGGCAACGAGAGACCAGATGTTTAACCTTCCAGGGCATCAATCTTCCCATCTCCAAAATTCGGTTGATGATTCCTTACTTATGAAAGGGATCCTGGCCGGGTGCGGTGGCTCATGCCTGTAATCCCAGCACTTTGGGAGACGAGGCAGGCAGATCACTTGAGGTCAGGAGTTCGAGACCACCCTGGCCAACACAGCAAAACCCTGTCTCTAATAAAAATACAAAAATTAGCCGGACGTGATGGCGCATGCCTGTGATCCCAGCTACACGGGAGGCTGAGACAGGAGAATCCCTTGAACCTGGCAGGCGGAGGCTGCAATGAGCCAAGATCATGCCACTGCACTCCAGCCTGGGCAACAGAGTGAGACTCCATCTCAAAAAAAAAAAAAAAAAAAAAGGGTCCCAAAACCTGGGATCCTTCTGGTGGTACAGTTCCAAGTTCTTCAGGAGGGTGGGCTGAAGGAGGAAGATGCCATGGAAGGTACTGCCAGTTCCGCTTGGCTTTGCTGGGACTGTCCGCAGTCTGTGTCCTTCTTGGGACAGCCCTGGAGATGGCCAATGCCAGGGAGGGCTGAGGAGGTGGGCAGCACCCACTCAGGACAGTGGGGCACATACTGCAAGCCAATCTGCCTTTAGGAAGTTGAAGGAGCACTAGACTGGAGTCCAGCTGACCTCAGACCAGCCACCTCCGGCTGGACCACCCTGGACAGTCACTTCACCTGTCTGGGTCTCCGTTTTCTCAAGCATAAACTGGAGGGAGAGCCGGGCGCAGTGGCTCATGCCTGTAATCCCAGCACTTTGGAAGGCCGAAGCAGGCAGATCACCTGAAGTCAAGAGTTCAAGAGCAGCCTGGCCAACATGGTGAAATCTTGTCTCTACTAAAAACACAAAAATTAGCCGGGTATGGTGGCACATGTCGGCAATCTCAGCTACTCGGGAGGCAGAGGCACAAGAATCGCTTGAACCTGGGAGGCAGAGGTTGCAATGAGCTGAGATTGCGCGCTGCCCTCCAGCCTGGGTGACAGAGCAAGATGCCGTGTCAAAAATAAATAAATAAATACATTAAATAAAATTTTAAAAAAATAAACTGCAGCGAGGAGGACCAGCCTGGCAGGGGCTGAGCACACCACAGGGGGCATGGGTGAAAGGGCAAACTGCTCCACAAAGTGAGCTACACCTTCCACCTCATCTGTCCCTTGTCCCCTTTAAGACCCCTCGCTCCCACGGTCATGAGGCTTCCCTGCTCTGGAAGCAGACATCTGGGTGGGTGGAGTAAATCCTGGTTCTAAGGCCCACAGGTTGTGTGATCTTGGGCAAGTGAATAACTCTGGAGCCTCGGTTTGCCCAGCTGGAAAACAGGGATAACTGAAAGAAACACTTGCCAGGGTGGCAATCATGCCTAACGGATGCCTGGCCCATAGTGAGCGCTCCGCAGAGTAGCCATTGGCGGTTGTTATTATGAGAACTATTATTATTTGAGCCTTTCTGTGCTGAATGGGACTCAGCTGTCACCCTTTCCTTCCCGAAGCAGGAACCGCAGCCCCAAGAGGGGAAGCGATTTGTTCAAGCCACCAGCGAGTAAGTGGACAAGGAGCCGGAACTCAGACTCCCTCCCCAGCCCAGGCCTCCCATTCAGGTCGTACCCAGGGGCACAGCCCCGGGACCGGCCCTCCCGCCCGGATCCGCGCTCCCGCCCCCGGCCTTCGCGCCCTCACCCTCCGGCTTGGCATCGCCCTTCGCTTCGGCCAGGAGCAACCAGCCCAGCAGGGCCAGGAGCAGCAGGGACCGCATGGCCGGGTTCTGGGGACTATCGGCCGACCCGGCGGCGCTGGCAGGGCTGGAAACTTCGCGACGGGGCCTCAGGTCCCGCTGCCACGCACTGGGCCCGCCCCGGGGGCGGCACCGCCCCGCCCTCCCCGCCCTCCCCGCCGCCTGCCCCGGGGGAAGGGTTTTTCTGCAGACGTGCCCGAGCCCGGGCCTCTCCGAGTGCAGGCAGCTCCCTCCGCCCGTCGGTGCGGCTCCCGGGGCTTCCGCCAGGCCCTGCCTCCTCCCTCCCTTCTCTGCGGGGGTTTACTGCGACCAGGAAGAAGGCGGTGAGAGGAGGGCGAGGCCACCATTTCTAGACCCCAGATTCCGCGCCAACGCTCCATGGCATCCATACCCGTGAGCCTCGGTTTGCTCGCCCGAAAAGTGGGGCTTTTGATAGCATCTGTTCTTTGGGTCCTGCAGGGGTTAATGGCGTTGCCTGCAGCGCACCTAGAGCAGCCCCAGGTCAAGCCCCAAGGAAGTCAGCTTTAATGATTTCAGCAGTCCTCCCCCAAACCCAAGGGGTAAGGGTGGGTAGGGATGCGTTCAGAGACATGGACACCCCTCCGTGGTCCACCCGGACCGCTGGAAATGCAGAAAGCACCCCTCCACTCTCCACCCCACAATCCCCAAAAGGCAATCACTTGATCTGCCTTAGTGTGCCTGGGAGGCAAACCTTTGAGCCAAAGAAAGTCGTGCTTCTGACGCTTTTTTTTTTTTTTCTTTCCAGTTTTTGGAGACAAGGTTGCATTCAGTTGCCCAGGCTAGAATGCAGTGGCGTGATCCCCGCTCACTGCAGCCTCGACCTCCTGGGCTCAAGCGATCCTCTCATCTCAGCCTCCCGAGTAGGCAGGATCACAGGGCTGAGCCACCACCCCTGGCTAATTTTTCTATTTTTGTGGAGATAAGGGTCTCCCTATGTTGCCCAGGCTAGTCTCGAACTCCTGGGCTCAAGGGATCTTCCTGCCTCCCAAAGTGCTGGGATTACAGGCTGAGCCACTACATCCTACAGAGATTAATTGTGAAATGAATAAACGAATCAATGAAAGTTTTTAGGGCCTCTTCACAGATGCCCAAAGCCCAACAATGGTCTCTAGATTAGGCAAGGGTTCCTGGTCCAGATGTCAGACGGGGGAAGCCACCTCTGAAAAAAATCCTCCCTTCCTTGGAAGAAACCTCAGACAGCGACCCAGGAGTCTTTTCCCAGCAGATTACGCTCCAGAGCAGTAGGTGGTGTGTGCGACCCTAGGCTCGCAGGGGGTTTCCCTGCAGGGGCAAAGGGGTGGGAGAGAAGGAGTGTCACGCATGTCGGTGGACAACATAGAGGACGCTATGCATTTGTGCTGGGAAAAGATTAATAAATCAACAATCAAAAGATATTAATAAATCATTCAGATGGGCTGAGTGCAGTGGTTCCTGCCTGTAATCCCAGCACTTTGGGAGGTCAAGACAGGCAGAATGCTTGAGCCCAGGAATTCAAGACCAGCTTAGGCAACATGGTGAAACCCTTTCTCTACCAAAAATACAAAAATCGTGGCATGTGCCTGTAGGCCCAGCTACTCAGGAGGCTGACTGGGGAGGATCCCTTGAGCCCAGGCGGTGGAGGTTGCAGTGAGCCACAATCGCACTGCTGCACTCCAGCCTGGGCAAGAGTCAGACCCTGTCTCAAAAAAACAAACCAAAAAATGAAAATACAAACAAAACAGCATTCAGATGCTGCAGCCAGGGAAATACTCTACCCATAGGATGTTTAGTGGAAATGCAGAGTATATAGCGTGGCTCCACTCAGTGAAAATATATTTGTATCCATGTAGACATGCATAGGGACAATGCGAGAAGAAAATTATGGCCAAATGTTTATTGTGATTATTTCCATGTGTGGGATGATTTCATATTTATATAGATGTGTGTGGGGCTGGGCGCGATGGCTCATGCCTGTAATCCCAGGACGTTGGGAGGCCAAGGCGAGTGGATCGCCTGAGGCCAGGAGTTTGAGACTAGCCTGACCAACATAGTGAAAGCTCGTCTATACTAAAAATACAAAAAATTAGCTGGGGATGGTGGTGGGTGCCTGTAATTTCAGCTACTTGGGAGGCTGAGGCAGGAGAATCACTTGAACCGGGAGGTGGAGGTTTCGGTGACCTGAGATCACAGTGAGCTGAGATCCTGCCATTGCACTCCAGCCTGGGCAACAAGAGCGAGACTCCATCTCAAAAAGAAAAAGAAAAAAAAAAGATATATTTTGATGTCTTATATTATTTCCAGGTAGCTATTTTCTTATTTATATTTTTCATTGTTTTTTCAATAAATATATACTTTTTTTTTTTTCTTTTTTTTTTGAGACGGAGTTTCGCTGTTGTTACCCAGGCTGGAGTGCAATGGCGCGATCTCGGCTCACCGCAACCTCCGCCTCCTGGGTTCAGGCAATTCTCCTGCCTCAGCCTCCCGAGTAGCTGGGATTACAGGCACGTGCCACCATGCCCAGCTAATTTTTTTTTGTATTTTTAGTAGAGACGGGGTTTCACCATGTTGACCAGGATGGTCTCGATCTCTTGACCTCATGATCCACCTGCCTCGGCCTCCCAAAGTGCTGGGATTACAGGCTTGAGCCACCGCGCCCCACCAATATATACTATTTGTAAAATTCAAACAAAATTGGCCAGGCACGGTGGCTCACACCTATAACCCCAGCACTTTGGGAGGCTGAGGCAGGTGGATCACCTGAGGTCGGGAGTTCGAGACCAGCCTGACCAACATGGAGAAACCCTGTTTCTACTAAAAATACAAAATTAGCCAGGCGTGGTGGCGCATGCCTATAATCCCAGCTACTCCGGAGGCTGAGGCAGGAGAATTGCTTGATCCCAGGAGGCGGAGGTTGCAGTGAGCCAAGATCATGCCATTGGACTCCAGCCTGGGCAACAAGAGCGAAACTACATCTCAAAAAAATAAAAATAAAAAATTCAAACAAAACCAATACATGCTATTTTTAGAAGATAGGTACAGGCCAGCACAGAGACTCAGGCCTGTAATACCAGGACTTTGGGAGGCCGAGGCAGAAGGACTGCTTGGGCCCAGGAGTTCCAGACCAGCCTGGACACTATGGCAAGATCCCTCCCCCATGTCTATTAAACAAAGATAAAGTCAGTCACTGGGAACCTTGGAAATCATCTCATTATATGGAGATGTGCTCAGATGTACAGACAGTACAAGTGATATCCAGAGGCACTGGGCAGTGAGCTCAAGGCCACAAGGCAAGTAAAAGGAAGAGGCACGAGCAGAATCCAGGGCCTTTACCTCCCAGCTGGGACCCAGAGCTGGGAGTTTCAGCAGCTGGAGACAGGAATTGGTGCCAGAATCCACCGGATGTTTTGGATACAGGAGGATGCAGACTCAGACTCCAGACCCCTGGAGAGGAGGAAATGCCAGGATGAGTAGAAGGAGGAGAATGAGCACGTGTTGGCTGATTCGATTTTTTTTTTTTTTTGATACGGGGTGTTACTTTGTCACCCAGGCTGGCATACAGTGGCGTGATTACAGCCCACTGCAGCCTCAACTTTCTGGGCTTAGGTGATTCTCCCACCTTAGCCTCCCGAGTAGCTGGGACTACAGACATGCACCTTGCCTGGCTAATTTTTTTTTTTTTTTTTTTTTGGTAGAGATGGGGTTTCATCATGTTGGCCAGGCTGGTCTCAAATTCCTGAGCTCAAGACATCTGCCATTAGCTTCCTGAAGTGCTGGCGCTACACGAGTGAGTCCCTGCACCTGGCCTCTGGTTCAGTTTTCAAAACTCCCTCATTCCCTGCCTTACAACAGCCTTGCTAATTAAGCAGTATTGCCCGTATTTGCAAAATGGGGAAACAGACCCAGAAGAGTGAAGCAATCTATGATGCCACACAGCTAATGCAGAACTACAGCAAGGAAGGCAGCCTTGGAACCCAGCACTAACTCCATATTTTCAGTAGTCCAAGAAGAACCTCAGTGGTGATGTACTGTGAATTTAAAAAAAAAAAAAAAAAAGCTGGGCGCAGTGGCTCACGCCTGTAATCCCAGCACTTTGGGAGGCCGAGGCGGGTGGATCACGAGGTCAAGAGATCAAGACCACCCTGGCCAACATGGTGAAACCCCGTCTCTACTAAAAATACAAAAAATTAGCTGGGCATGGTGGCTTGTGCCTGTAATCCCAGCTACTCAGGAGGCTGAGGCAGGAGAATTGCCTGAACCCAGGAGGTGGAGGTTGCGGTGAGCCGAGATCACGCCATTGCACTCCAGCCTGGGTAACAAGAGCGAAACTCCGTTTCAAAAAAAAAAAAAAAAAAAATCCTTGAGGCCAGGTGCCATGCCTCACACCTGTAATCCCAACATTTTGGGAGACTGAGGTGGCAGGATCCTTTGAGACCAGGGGTTCCAGACTAGCCTAGGCAACGTAGTAAGACTTGCTGCCCACCCCCCCACACCCCGCCTCCTGTCTCTACAAAAAAAAATTAGGAGGGTGCGGTGGCATGCACCTGTAATCTAAGCTTCTCAGGATACTGAAGTGGGAGGATCGCTTGAGCCCAAGAGGTTGAGGCTGCAGTGAGCCTCGATTGTACCACTGTGCTTCTGCCTGAGTGATGGAGTGAGACTCCATCTCAAAAAAGAAAAGAGGCCGGGCGCGGTGGCTCAAGCCTGTAATCCCAGCACTTTGGGAGGCCGAGGCGGGTGGATCACGAGGTCAAGAGATCGAGACCATCCTGGTCAACATGGTGAAACCCCGTCTCTACTAAAAATACAAAAAATTAGCTGGGCATGGTGGCGCGTGCCTGTAGTCCC